ATACTTTAAATAGCAACTATTTTCGAAAACTATATATTTTATATGGCTTTTCTACATGTGTTTCCAGTGTGATGACACTAGCCGTTTCTCTTGAAATGTTTCGATGCGGAATCAAAACTTTTAGATAACATTTTTTGAAGCATTTTCTGCAATTTGTGTCCAAGATGTTCCCATTTTCATCAGCCACTGTAAATATGTAAAAAATCTAAATGTGAAGAAACAAAATACCAAACTAAAATAGTCTATGTCTGTATGTGGACTTTAAAATGAAAGCAACCATTGGTTTTCTCGCACAAAAAATGTCTGGCAAAATCAAATTTATCGTTTAATTTAATAATGTACTTTCATATTTTTAATGCCCCTTCTATACATAATCACTATTTGCTGCTACAAACTATTTCTTTGTTTGAAATATAGATTTTAATTTTTATTTCTATATCATGGTTCTGAAAAATATATATATAAATTAATGTACGTAGAACGCGTTCTTATGAGTTTAAAAGCTCAACAGCGGATAAAAATATATATTTTTAGTTAAATAAGCTATCACTAGCCAACATGACGGTATTTTAATTGATTATTTTATAAAATTGACATTGAGTCGGACACAAATCATCTACATTATATCATATTTGTGTCTAAAAAGAGAGAAACTCGTGTTTCGAAAATGAATCGACCATAAATGGAATCATTCGAAAATTTCGAGCTAGTCACCTTTCAACAACGCCAATAAAAACTTCTCGTCAAAATAATTAAAACATTTTTATTTACTTATTTTAACACAATTAAAACATAAAAACATGTTGCGGAAAAATATATGTTGCCAGTATATTAAATAATTTTTCAAAACTTCTCAGGCACAAAACGGATACGAAACCTTTGTAAATGTGAGCCACAAAATGTGTTTCGAAACAAAAAGCCATTTATGTTACGAAACATATGTATTAAAAATGTGACAAAACTGTTGTTTCTCAACAGCAATTTTGTTTCGATTTTGTGTCGAAAAATGCTACTTGGGACATGCCTATAATAATAAACTTATTCATCCAAAAACTATTCATCTCTCGTAACTAAATAATCCATCTTAAACTCGAAATCGGAAAAAAACTGTGTAACAATTGGCCAATAATTCCGTTCCTTCGGGGCGTAATTCAGATGAAACGTTTAGTGCTGCAAACTAGACAAACCCAAAGATTATGTCCCGGAGATAGGACAAAGAGATGCCGAATGTTTCGAAGTGTTTCCACCCTAATCTTAGTAATTCCTAAAATGTACGTCCTCCGATATTAACTCCGAACTGGAGGATTAATGTTTATTTGGCCGTTATTGTGACAGCGTCATCGAAGCGAACATAGACACAAATCGAACTTGTCGGATTGGAGAATTATTCCGAATTATTTGCGCGGACTATGGATTAGACAGTTCGGAACTGGCTGCTCTGAAAGTTGATATAATTTTTTTTGGATATTTTTATATAGGATCCTGTGCAAAGGGCTTCAGTGAAAGCTCTCCATCGGGTTCTATTTTTGGCAGTTGTTTTTGCTTCCTTCCATCTACCTACTGGTTGAAGCTCATCCAGTATGGAACGTCTCTATAGGTATTTGGGCAAGTCGTCCTTGCTTTCTTTTTCCTTGGGGATTCCACTCCAACGCTGATCTCGCTATACTACTATCAGGTGTCCGGAAGGTGTAACCTATCCAAACCCATTTTTTTTTGCGAATTTCAATGCCTAATTATTGTTGGTTTTTAAAATGAAGCAGGTCGGTATTGCGTATGGTGTCTGGCCAAAAGATTTTTAGTATTTTTCTCAAGCAGCGATTGATAAACACCTATGGGCGGTTGATAGATATTTTTGTCACTCTTCATGTTCAACCATACCGGATGCGTCTCAAAAGTGGCTCACCCCTATAACTTTTTATTTTTTCAGATAAAACAACGAGATTTGGTGTGTTAGTATATGACATAAATTGGGATTAATTGTTTTTGGTCACTTCCGGTTTCACCGGAAATGACTACAACTTTTGATTTTTAAATGGCACCCTCGGTATTTTTTTACTTTATTCAATAGAAAATGACATTCTGAATCGAATGACATATCATATGTCAATTTTTGAGATAGTCACTCAAAAACAAAATCTCTTTTAAATTTCAATCTAGAGTGCCATGGCTGTGTTAAAAACAATAATTTTTAATCAAGGAGCCTTGGAAAAATAGATTTGATCGTCGATTTGATCTATGTTTTTAGGGTCTTGTCCTGGCCGGTTAAAAGATGCTCAAATCGTATTTTTACTCATATCTCAATTTTTTCAAATAGAACGAGGATGGCTCATTAGCATATTTGGAAAAAACATTTTTTACGAATAATTTGATACCACACACTTGGAATTTTGAGTTAAATTGTCGTGATGAACCACAATTTCAAATAAACCATAAATATGGCAAAATATCAAAAGTTGACATATGATATGTCATTCGATTCGGAGTATCATTTTCTATCGAATAAAGTAAAAAAATACCGAGGGTGCCATTTAAAAATCATAAGTTGTAGTCATTTCCGGTGAAACCGGAAGTGACCGAAAACAATTGAATACGTCAATCAATCCCAATTTATGTCATATACTAACACACCAAATCACGTTGTTTTATCTGAAAAAATAAAAAGTTATAGAGGTGAGCCACTTTTGAGACGTACCCGGTATAGTAAAACTGGTATGACGTTGGAATTGAATATTCTTAATTTTGTTTTTATGGAGAGTTGACAGGAGGTCCAAACTGATTTTAGTTGGTCAAAGGCTCGCTGCGCCTTCGTGATCCTGCTGGCAATATCCGCGTCTGCGCCACAGTTTGCTGTTACAATACTTCCCAGGTAAGTAAACTCATCTCGACATTTTTGATTCCTACACTAAACGGAGTGTTGTTATATGTGTTGATGCGCATTAATTTTGTTTTGTCGATGTTTATGCTTAGTCCTACTTTATCTGCTTCTATTTTTCGGCGACTGAGCATCACCTCCATGTCTTTGAAGGATTGCGTTGTGAGACAGATATCATTTTACAACCAAATCAAACCAAACCCAAAAAGCAATACCAATTTTCCGCATCAAAATATAGTTTTATAATATTACAAAATATTGAGCAGCAATAATTATTTCATAAGAAACATATTTTGTTGAATTTATATGGGAATTATGTATCTTTTTATTGTACGGTGTGGTAATCAATTGTAATGTTTCGGAACGCCAGTACAGAAGGACAAGCAATGTTATTCAAAATATTTTGATGAGATGTGAAAGAAAAGTATAAAACAACAAAATTAATTATTGATTTGAAAATGGGTCTGGTACGTCCTAAGTTAACTTACTAAAAGTATGTGCGAGTCCCATGCTTAGAACCAGAGATATCGAAATACTACCAGCAGTCGCCGATAAATAGAAGGATAACTAGAAGGATAATATCAAAGGCAAACGTATTTTTATTCAATTCTATTCTACAATCTCTACAACTTATCAATAGCTAAACTAAAACTATTATAAAAAAATTGTGTGTGCACTATGTGCGTATATTTGAAGTGAAACTTCATACTAACAGCTATTAAATTAAAGAATTTGAAGGCAAATTTGCCATATGCACCGTCGCTCACATAGCCTACCCACCAAATTTGGTCGCGATCGGACATCAAATTTTGATGATTCAAAACTAACTGTCCCAGTGACACGGGTCGTACACGGTCAAGTTGGCCTTGGTCCAGACTATCGACATACCAAATTTTACTTAAACCGGACGATTTTTTCTAAGCCGTAGGCTGTCCTTGCCACGTTTCCTCTCGTGTGTCGTGTCGCGGCCTTGAATTTATACTCCCAGCTTGCGTAAAGAAATTTCACTTCAAAAATGTCTATATCTATGTGGCAGATTTATAAAGGGTGTTTCAAAACAAATGCGAAAAACTTTAGGGGGTGATTCCTTGTTCAAAATAAAGGGTAGTTTGCTTTATAAACGTTGGGTCAAAAGTCAACCATTAGGGAGATATCGCGGTACAAAGATGGCGGAAAAATTATGTTTTTATTTTTTATCTTGAAAACGAAAAGAGATAGACTAATGAAATTTTATGGAAGCATTATTGTTATGAAAACACACTTTTTGGTAATTTTTTCACTTTTTTAAAATGAGTGGAAGAGGTTGAAATAAACTACCCCTATCGTTCTTGTTAACGAAATTTAAAGAAAAGTCTTATCAAACACATACAAAAAAATTAATTTGGATAGTTTTGTTTGTTTCGAAACTTTTTTATCTCTTGTGTTTTTTTGATAAAACTCACCGATTTGAAATTAAAAAATAAAATGTAAAGCATTACATGTGAGGACAAAAAACATTTTTAGATTAAGAATCTAGTGATAATAACGATAATAATAATCATCTAGATAATAACGTATTGCAGTAGAGTAATGTCACATAAAATAATATTAGGAACATCCTAAAAAGTAACAGCAGCCGACTAGATTTTTTCCTAAAAAAATTACAGCAGCCCACTAGATTCTTTATCAGAAAATATTTTTTGTCCTGGCATTTAATGCTTTACATTTTATTTTTTAATTTCAAATCGGTGAGTTTTATCAAAAAAATACAAGAGATAAAAAAGTTTCTAAACAAACTGAACTATCCAAATTAATTTTTTTGTATGTGTTTGATAAGATTTTTCTTTAAATTTCGTTAATAAGAATGATAGGGGTAGTTTATTTCAACTTCTTCCACTCATTTTAAAAAAGTGAAAAAATTACCAGAAAGTGTGTTTTCATAACATTAGTCTATCTCTTTCGACATACAAGATAAAACTAAAACCGGACGATTTTTCCTAAGCCGTCTGTCCTACCACGTTTCCTCTCGTGTGTCGTTGACCCAACGTTTATGAAGCTCCCAGCCTGCGTATTTTGAAATTTCACTTCTGAAAATGCATTTGTTTTGAAACACCCTGTATATTCAAAAAAGTCCTATGGGTATTTCGCCACTTGGCGAAAGAGAAAAAAGTAGTTATTTTTTGTAAAGACTGCTGGGCGTTGATCCAACGGAGACCAACTTGTCAGCGGTGGTTTACTATATAATAATACAATTTTGCATAATGGACAAAAAATACTAAAATTGCAGCGGTGTTTACAAAAAATTACTATTCTATTTTGTACATTTTTTTATTATCTTATTCTAATTTTTAGATTTTTTTTTCAGGTTTGTTCTACTCAATTATCTAAGAGTCTAAACATATTTTATTACATATTACTACTCGTATTATTTTAAAGGTTAAAACAATATCAACTGGTCGTTCGGTTCGAGTTAGATTTTTTTGAATGGACCGATTTGGTATCCACATTTCCGTTTCCCATTTTGTGAATAATACTGGTATTAATGTTTAAGAACGAGGCTGCCCCGGTAAGGATCCCTGCGTTAGTTTTAGAATCCTCCTCCGATTTTGATGATGATGATTCCGAGAGAAGTGGTTTGACTCTCTTTTTTGTTATAAAAATGTTACAGGCAAACTTCAGTTCGACTTTAAAAGCCTCGAAGTAACTTAACTGTAATGGAGATCATAATTATTCATAGTTAAAAGCTAGGTTAAAATACATTTTGACTTACATGTTCTTCCACCGAAACATTGTAGACGTTCCATAGGAATTCTAAAATTGCTATTATAAATGCTAATCCTAAGCATACCCCTAAAACAACAAAAACACCACCGACGTTTTCTAAAGCCAAGGCGTCAGTGTTTTCTTCGACTTCCTAAAATATTATTTCTTAATATTAAATACAGGGGATCTCAATATTCCGTGGAGATTACGAATTAAAGAATTATGTGGAGATACGTATTAAAGGAATGAAAATAAGTTCCTTGGCCACAATATACCTCTATACAAAAGTGCTTTCTTTGTTCGTTAGAGAGCATTAAAATTTAAAAAAATAAAGACATTTTTTAAGATATTTTAATAACCGTTATTCCGAAGACCAGCTGCAAACTCCAATGAGCAAACTGACAGAAGAGAGCATTAGAATGAGTTTAGAGATTAACACCGTCATTCGCAAGACAATGAAAACACCGACATAATGATAAACGGCGTCCAACTAGAGACCACGCAGAGATATATTTAGTTGAGCAGGGAATTAAACAGCCAGCTAGACCACTCTAAGGAAATCAGAAGGATTAAAATAGCTAGGGCTGGGTTCCTAAACATGCGGAAGTTCTTGTGCCATCCCAAAATAGTTATACCAACGAGGCTAAGAACATTAAAATGCTATATGTGGTCTCTGCTTCAATATGGATGCGAAACATGGACGCTAACACAGGAGAACATCAAACGACTTAATGCTTTTGAAATGTGGATGTACCGACGGATGCTGAGGATAAGTTGGACCTAAGAACAACAAACTCTGAAGTTTTAAACAAAATGAAAAGTCACACACCTAACAGGCAAAATTAAAATCAAAAAACTACCTACTTTGCTGGACACAAAGCGCGGCACTGAGAAAATGAAAAAATACAGCTGATAATAGAAGGGAAAATCGACGGTGAGGAAAGCATAGGGAGGAAAAAGAAGTCATGACTACGTAACATAAGAGATTAGACACACACCGACGGAAACACCCTTATCCATCAAGCTCTGGACAGAGAGTCATATGCCATATTGATCGCTAACCTCAACAGAGAAGGCACCTAGGAGGAGGGGGATTCCGATTTGAATGAGATTTGGGGTGCATATGTCTTGTTAAATGTTTTAATATTTAACTTTTACAAAAATCAAGAAAAAGTAAGGGAAGGGTGAAAACTACTCCCACCCCTATATAAATTTTCGTAGAAATATTTTAAAATTTCATTGACTCCATTGATTTTATTTTCATAAAATGTAAAAGACCGCGCATACATTTTGAGAAAAAAATATGTTTCTTTTCACATTAAGCTATGTGGGCACATAACATATATTATGCGCTATAATCTAGTTGACGAAAATATGGAATTTTTTGTTCATTGAATATCACAAATGAAGAGCACATGGGAAAAGCTATGAATGTCTAAAAACAAAAGTTTAATGCGCTCTAGCGGACAAAGGAAGCATTTTAATGTAATTGATGTGCCATTAACTCATTTTGATTCCAAAAATACGTAGTAATCCTATATTGTCCACGGAATATTGGGACACCCTCTAAATAATTTATTTCACTGAATTACCGATGGACATGGTTCGCCTTCTCTTTGTTTTTTCCACCATTTTTCCTTTAATTCTATAAGTTTTCCCGTTTCTTGAAGTTTTAATACCGCAGAATTAATAGAGTGTCGATAATCCGCGTCTAATAATAATTTAATTCAACACTAAGATTTGTTTTGTGTAAGTAAACTTACTCATCGGCATTCCTATTCCATATGATTTAGAGTCCAGTAAATTTCCAATTCTTCTCAAGTCGCATTTTCTTTCCAATTCGTACTCAATTCCAGTAGACTCCATAAAGAATGCGTATAAAGCATTTTTGGTTGACAAGATCCTCTCAACTCCTTTGGCATTACTACTTTCAAATACTGATTTGTCCATTGCCATATTGTTCCACATTCGTTGATATAATGAGTTATTTGATTTTTCGAAGAATGTAGCTGTTGAGCCACCTTCTTGGCAGCCTTCAAAATACAGCGGATAGAAAAGGAACAATAATTAAGAAAAAACCTTAAGTTACCGTATTTGACTTTGGATTGTGTAGCTAATTCTTCCACCGAATCAATAGAATCATCCTTTCTGGACATAGTTAGAAAAGCTGCCAAATTAGCTGTATATGAACTGGTAATGATTAAGGAGAAAAACCACCAACTAGCGGTAGCTAATCTGGTACACGATCCTCTAAAATAAAAATATATAAAAATAAAGAAATAATAGCGAAAAGGTACTGCTAAACAAGGTATTGACAGGCCTTATATAGAAACTCTCGCCAATATATACAAAGAAGCCAAAGCAAGAGTAATGATATATAAAAGAAACTCAAGGTGTCCAACTGCCGAAGGATTACGACAGGGAGACACAATGTCCCCAAAGTTGTTTACAGCAACACTAGAACGAATATTCCGCCAACTGGACTGGGCCAATAAAGGATTAAAAATAGATGGACAATATTTTAACCATCTACTTGCCGATAGTCCTGAAGAACTACAATACAAATTAACAAACTAAATACAATCAGCAATAAAGTAGGTGTCAAAAAGAATTTAGCAAAAACTAAATTAATCTATAACGAACTAATAGACAGAAAAAAAAAACTAATAAATAAGACAACACTTGAAATATTCGAAGAGTAATATATATTTGGGACAACTAATACAACAGCTCAGGATCTCTACTACCAGAAATCAACAGAGGAATTAAGTTAGCATGGAGTACTTATTGAAGAAACTCAATCATATTCAAATCTAGAATGCCACTTTATTTAAAGAAGAAAACATTTGTCCAATGTGTACTATCAGTCATGATTTATGCATGCGAAACCTGGACATTTAAAACGGACATTATAAGGAAACTGCAGGTCGCACAACGTTCAATGAAATGAAATATGCTGGGAATAACCAGAAAATATCGTGAAAGAATAGAGTGGATACGACAAATGACCCAGCTTTGGGAATTCCACAGTACCAAATTCCTGAAGTGACAATGGACAGGACTCCTAGCAAGAAGGACGGGCAACAGATGAACCAAAATATGCTGGGAACAAACCAAAATATGCTGGGAATAACCAGAAAATATCGTGAAAGAATAGAGTGGATACGACAAATGACCCAGCTTTGGGAATTCCACAGTACCAAATCCCTCAAGTGGCAATGGACAGGACTCCTAGCAAGAAGGACGGGCAATAGATGAACCACAAAAATTACAGCATGGTATCCACGAGGAATTAAGAGACCTAGGAGAAGATCAAATCAGAGATGGGACCATGATGTTAGGAAATTAGCAGGGATAACTTGAGCCCGCATAGCCAATATAACAATAGACAACAATGGGCCCTACTGAGACTACAAAGAGAGTATGTGAGGGAGGCTACACCATACTTGGTAATGGTTGAACAAGCTGAGGAGGATGATGAAATTTTATTTTTACACACTTAGACTATACTTACTTTGGCAAAATATCACAACCTTGCGTAGTAATAGAACCTAGAGTTAACCAGCAACAGTTTTTGAGATCCCATATGTTTTCCAATTCTGAAGGATTCTGGTCGCAAGGATGGGGATTTTCCCAATCTTCTGCAGACATCCTAAGAGAAGATGCAATTTTATTTGTGAGTTCTAGTATATAATTTTTCTGTACCTGGCAATAAACACTAGGAGAAATGACATAAACAGGTAGAGAGCGCCTATGTAAAACCATACTTTAGACGACAGCGGACCAAGAAACCCGTACATATTTGCTTCTTCAACTTCTTCAGCTTTTTTATGCAAAATTCCTATTCCTATATGTTGATTATGAATTAAATTGCGAATTTCTGTTTATTAATAAAATACGGTAAATTACCTAATGTCATAAAAGGCATGCTAAAATCAATAGCTTCTCTTCGTTCGGGAGTTATTGTGAAATCGCATATGGCTAAGTCAGCTCTCTAAAATGAAATTATTGTGACTTTATGATTTATATCAATATTTTAATATATTATACCCGTTCTTTTAAATCTTTGACTAAGTTTGCTGGTAAATTGTCTTGGGTTATTTGAAACTCAAATGTTATGTTCAATATTTTAGCAATTTCTGCGATTAAATCTATAGAGTAACCATAATAACGCCCGTTTCCTGAAGCTTCGGGATCTGGATTTACAAATAAATAAGGTGGACCTATCCTGAAATATAAAAATCAAAAGCTAAAAATAGAAATAACATTTATTAGAAATATATTAGTATATTGTTTAAAACTTAAAAACAAAAAACAAGCGATAAGCATGAGGCAGTACGGTGACCACTTTGGAAATTATTGATGTAACTGATCGTTAAAAGTAGACTGGTTGTTTAGTAAATAGGCTGTGTTAAAATTCTAGATCATATATACTTACGTGGATAAGTAAATCACTATGGAAACTGTCGCAAACAGATCAACGACTTCCCTTTATCTTCTTTTTTTGTTGCACACGCGGTGCTACTACTCTATGTATCTTTGTCGAGGACCTATTACCCGCGCGTCAAATTTACATTAATTTTAAAAATTTAATTTGTAAAATGCTTATATTTGAACAATAAATTGAATGTTTATTGTCACAAAAATTAAATTATATAAAAATACATTTAGCCACTCCGTACGAATATCAATATTCTTAGGAAATTTAACCAGAAAGTATGCATGTGGCTTAATATTAATAAAAGAACAACTGAATACTTTACTTGCCTATGAAAAGATAATTCTGGGACCTTTATATTAGAACTTTCACACACTTAACAATTTCTAGTTATTTTGGCGAATATTTAGAAAATTAATGATTATGACAATATGATGACAATGAAAAATTGGTTTCCATAACAATGTATAATTTGTACTTTCTAAACCGTATAAAATTATAATTATTTTGGAATTGGAACTTTTAATGTGCATGCGCAAAGTAAGGTCCTCGAGAAAGACAAACCTATTGAACGTTTCATAAGTGCAATAAAGAAGGTTTGAAAATGGCATGTCTTATGGCGTTAATTTATCCACGTAAGTATATATGATCTAGGGTTAAAATAAACCAAATCTGAAATGTGATATGTCAAAAGTATTACATGGGCGCTATTTATTTATTTTTATTTTATTTATTCATTCAATGTATTATTGTATAAGCCCTAAATTCATATTTTTTTGTTTCATGAAATTAAAAATCAAAATAACAGGTCCGGCAAATTTACCCAAAACAAGAATTTAATTAACTATTTTAATTCTTTTCACAAAGAATTAAAATTAGCTACTTATAGTACGAGAGCTAGCAACGTTGTTATAACAAGAATTTTAAGAAAGCTGGTCCCTTAATATATCTTTTGCCATGCTTTTTTGAACAGCGGGCGGGCCATCTGGCTGCTTGTAGACGTCGCGTTCACTACTGCGCATCACATCTGTACAAGGCGTCCCATGTTCGTGCGTTTTATGGCATTTCTCGTTTATGAGTAGAGATACAATGATTCGGCTTTTACATTATTTTGTTACTTTTTATGAAACTAAATATACTACACATAGATTTGTCCTATTCTTAGTTCCTGAAATAAGCATCAATTATGTATGTATATAAATGCATCAATCTCAAATTCGCCCTGTATTTCAGGAACTAAGAAGGCTACGACAAATCTATGTGTGATGTATTTAGTTTCATAAAAAAGTGGCAAAGTAATATGTAAAACGCATCATTGTATCTTTACTCATAAACAAGAAATCCCATAAAACACACGGAAATGGGACACCCTCTACGGATGTGATGCGCAGTAGTAAACGCAACGTCTACCGGCAGCCAGATGACCCGCACTCTGTTTAAGAGAGCATCACAAATGATATATTAAAGAACCAGCTTTGTTAAAGTTCTCTCTCTCGAAAATGTTGCTAGCCCTTAGACTATTATTTATATATCTTTTTTCTTTTCAACAAACCTGGAAGTAACAATAAACTTGTGGTTTTGTAATCTGTTTTGAATTTCGGCCTCTCTTTCAGTAGCATTTCTGGTCAAATATATCGATTTTGGATTTTCCGAATTCCATATCCCTATAGGTCTATCCAATTTGTCAACTTCCATTACCTCTAATATAAAGCTGTCCCTTATTCCATCCTTTAATTTAAATGTACCTGTAAGACCATTAATCAGTTCAGTCTGAAATTAAAAACATATAAAAAGTGAAATAAAACAATATCGTTACTAAAAAGGTACTACCTCATGTATGGCTTCTACGAGACCATACCTGTCTTCATATTTTTCAGTTGAATTACAGTATATTGGATCGTAAGATATCTCCTCATTTTCTTGCTTTGAGTTCATAACGTTTAATGATTGGGCTAATAGTATCATGGCATCATGCATCAGGGCATGTTCAACCTAAAATGTAGAATAATTATAAATTATAATATCTTCAGTAATTATTATTGAAGTTTCGATAAAACACTATTATACAAGGTGTACGAATATAGGAGATTATTTATTTTTTAAAGATAAGGATGAATTTTTGTATAAAATTATCAAAAGGAAAACCCCAAAGTTGATATATGACGTGTTAGGAAAGGAAACGCCAAAATCAAAAAATAATTATACGAAAAATTACTTCCCGAATTTCTATGCAATTCATATATTTACACCCTGTAATACGCTTACTGTAATTTGACTGGGGTCACTCTCAGGATAGTATTTAAATATTTGTTTCTGGAAATTGTCTTCTTGTGGATTGAATAATCTTACTGTAGTCAAATTTGATTTTGTTCCCACAGGGGAAAAATCTAATGTATGAGCATCCTAAAATAAAATGTTATATACCTAGTGCAGACTTTTAGTTTTCACAGAAGTCTTACCAATGAAGTCAAAAAGAGACTGGTAGTAAAATCAGTTAATAGCTTAACTTCTTTGGCTTGTTGCAAAATATCAATAATTTTGTCAGTGGCACAGTCTAATACTATTCTAGATATCGGTGTATTTCTAATTTTCTTTAAAATATATCTGCTATCTCCAGAGGGATCCAATTTATTAACCATAAGTGTATTTTTAAAAACGTCGTCTTTGTGCTCCTGGAGTTTTAAAACGTCTTGAAGCCTTACCAAGCCTTCATCATCTTCATACAGAACGACGAATGTATCCCAATCAAGAGACTTTACTATTGTACCATACGCCTAAAATAGATTACAATAAATTAGGAGTTGTAATCAATTTATACTTAATGTATTTTTTAGGGTATCGGAACATATCGTGGAAGGGTCTCTGGTGAAGACGTTTCTAAATTTTGGTTAATAATAATTAGTTAAAAAATTATAGTTTACCAATTACACCAAAACTGTGTATTAAATTCAGCATACCAGTTTTGTTAATAATGCATCATTAGCATATGATTAAAAAAATTATAATAGTTAGTCATTTATTGATGATGCTAACACAGTTAACGAAATGTGTAAAGTAGGAATTGTGGTAAATTGGTGGTATATTTTGGGGTTTCTTAATCCTAAAGGATCCTGTATCCACTGTATTCTTTGGTAAACGATTGATACAATATTTAATGTCGTTAGCAGAATATGATAGAGTACTATATGATAGAGTCATTATCGTTATAACTCTTTTTCTGGCATAGTCTTTTGATAAAAATATTATTTAGCGATAATGTATTTCGGTTAGCTTATTAGCAAATTTTTAGTCGCTGAATCTAATTGGGACAAGTTACACCAAACTTCTAATTTTTGTGATTTCTCCTGCCCAAAACAGGCCATCCAATCTTTGGTTTTGTGTAGGTACTAAAGATATATTTTTTAATCTATGAAAATGCTACGCATAATCCCTAAATATAAGTAATCCATCCACTAACTAGAGATTAAAAGAGTTGCATTGTGCACGTAAATGGTAATGTGAGTTTTCTTTGTACATGCAATAGTATTCACTCTTTGCATATCCTTTATACCGATTTATAATTTTTTTATTTTTTTCATATAAAAACCAGATTTGGTATGTTAGTATATGCTATAAATCGGGATTGATTAACGTATCTTATTAGTTTCGGTCAAATCCTCTTTCAACGGAAATGGCTACAACTCTAGATCTCTAAATGGTAGCCTTAGTATATTTTTACTTTATTTGATTCAAAAAGATGATGATATGTCAACTTTTAAATTGAAAAAAAAGTATTCTAAATTTTAATTAAGAGTGCCATAACTGTGTTAAGACCATTTATCTTATAATCAAGTAGTCTTGGAAAATTGATATGATCTTCTAATGTTTGTTGTGTTTTTTTCGGGCCAGCTGAAAGATGTCTCAATGGTATAAATGCATGAGTTGAAGTTTTTAAACGGTTTTATTTAGCTCGACCCGTACGGCATTTATTTATTTGTTTGGGTCAAAATTAGAAATTGAAATTTAAGTACCTTCCTGTTGTCAGATTGATCTGAAATTTGGTACACACCTTTAGTTCCGATGACAATACAATATAGTAATATCAATAACATTGTAAATCCAAGATGGCCGCCGGAACAAAATGGCGGATTTCATATTTTTTCAGAACCCCCTCAATATGGGTATCAAATGAAAGGGCTACACTAGTAGAATACTGTGATTATGACAAAATTTAAAATCCAAGATGGACGTCGTTACAAAATGGCGTATTAGGTGAGGGCATGAGTAGTCGTGTCCAGAACAGTTGTGTCCAAGATTGTGTGACGTTAGAAGGACAGATAAAAAAAAATAGGTGATTTGTGAAAATGTTGCGGTCCAACATTGACGTTGCAAAAGGATTGGTAAATGGTGCTATAGGCCACATTACAGAAATTGTTTGGCCTCAGTTCCGTTGAACCCAAATGTACGAAACAGATGTACCATCAGTTTGGATTGACTTTGGCAGAGACGGCATACACGTTATACACCCGAAAGCCATACAGTTTCCAGCAAAATTCAATTATGGTACGGCTGAAAGAAGGATGTTACCCTTAATTTTGTCATGGGCATCCACCGTCCATAAAATGCAGGGCAGCACAGTCGACCATGCAGTAGTGTATTTGGGCTCAAAATTGTTTGAGGAAGGGCAAGCATACGTGGCTCTAAGTCAAGTCAAGTCTCTGGAAGGGCTATGTATTGAGGAATTAGATTGTAATAAATTATCAGGTCAGGATTGTAATAAATTAACATGTAAAAAACATGTAATAATGATGCACTAAATGAATTAAATAGAATGAGGAATATTCGGTAGGCCGTTAAATACTAAACCGTTAAATACTAAACCGTTAAATACTAAAAACTAGAAAATAAAAAATCGGTAAAAAAACTTTTAAGTTAAACGGTTTTATCTTATGTGCACTGAAAACTAGAAAATAATAATAACAATTAGGTATTTTGAACTTCTAGTTCAGAAATATTTTAGTACTAGGCAGAATAGCTTTTAGGCATATTAGACTAAAATAAAAACGTGGGGCCCCTCTGAAATCCTACCTATGGCAAAGCATATCTTTATACTTTGGTAGATCATGAGCTCGGCGTTCGCTGGTGAAGCCGCCACGGCTGGTTATTGATTGTCAAAATCTCCAGTTACGATTATAGTAAGTCGATGCAATCCACACTTAGTATAGAAGAAAGTATTACAGCAATAGTTAATGGGCCCCACGTTTTTATTTTAGTCTAATATGCCTAAAAGCTATTCTGCCTAGTACTAAAATATTTCTGAACTAGAAGTTCAAAATACCTAATTGTTATTATTATTTTCTAGTTTTCAGTGCACATAAGATAAAACCGTTTAACTTAAAAGTTTTTTTACCGATTTTTTTTACGAATAATTTGGTACCACCTACTTGGTATGTCTAGTCAATTTGTTATTACATTTATTATGGTAACACTGTATGTACAGTATATCCCTGGATTTTCTTTACAAGAGAAAAAACTTTTTTATTACTAACATTATGAGGAAAATGCATTTTTCATAAAATTTGTTGCTTGTTCTAAAATTGTTAATCCCGTTTATACTTTTCCAAATTTCTAACCGTTTTAGAGAAAATTAGAAAAAACATGAAAATATGGTGGAATTTTTTCCTAATGTCCTAAAAATAAAAAAGGCGTTTCTATTGTGATATAATATAATTTCATTCTATTCTCAGAACCGGAAATGATTTTCACCGAGACACACACTTGATAAAAAAATAAATTAAAATTTTATATATTTGTTACTCACCTGAGCCAGGATGGATGCTTCAGGATATAAGTTGAAAGTTACATCCTGTGCTTCAAAAATTCTCGGTCTCCAGTTTATTAAAATATAAGGCAAATTCAAGTGAGAACATACAGTCTCTAGTGTTGCAGACATCCATACATCCTTCGGTCCAAATAATGCAGCTATACTATTTTCTTCTTGCACCATATTGCAAACTATATTTAGAGAAAGAAATGAGATAAAGGTTTATGTCGACGATGAAGTAAACACAATTACTTACGCATATTGGTGGCTTCAAACCCATCCGAAGGTAAATCATTTTTAATTTCTGGAACAGTAAACTTGAGTTCTGGATTGATATTTTGGGTAATAACATCCCAGTTGGGATCATCGTGCGCCTGATCTTTATCAAAAATAATCCCTAAAATATTTAACCGTTTCAAGCTTTTCTGCTTCCTGTATAATGAAACAAACGTGTTTACTCACCCACGTTGATTACGTTACTACAATACGCGCTGCAAAAATAAATCGACCAAAATATCAAACGATACATCGTTAACTCCGCGCTTAACTTTTTTCGAATCGATCACATTCGCATCTTTCCTGTTTAAGTGGCTATCGTATTTTACTAGACTTCAACTTAGTAAAAACAGAAAATATTTTGAGGTCCCTAAATCCTGGTGCATGGCCAATAATTATTTTATCGACTATAAAAATAACCCCAGACAGTTAAGCGGCTAATGAGTTTGACTTTTAATTATAGCTAAAGCGTCTGTAACTTTTGAGGGCCCTACGATGCGTACAATAAATATTTCAACACCTATTTTATAATTTCCTCTATACAATAACTTGGTTTATTTTAAATATATCTTCTTATTAAATTATTATAATTCCCACATGTAATCAAAAATGTATCGCGTGTTACAGAAATAACCCTAATAATTTTTAATAAATATCCATTTTTCGGTCTATTTTTACAGTATCCCATTTATTTGGCACTGCAATGTGCTTACGGTAGACCATTTGTTTTCGACCTACTATGATCCAGAAATAAATTAACCTTCGCACTAATACCAAAAGTTAAATTTATCATCTCATACAAATAAATGTAATCCAGTTATTTTTATTTTTTTTTCTAAAATAAGTTAAATGAAAAAATTATTATTTTCTTAACAATTAAATTATTAAAGATATACAGGGTGAGATTTTTACGATGTTTTCTATGGGTATCTGGGAAACTACTGGAGCTAGAGGTTTTGTCAAACGGAATTGCAGTTTTGTGAGGACAAAGATATGCACTTTTCGGATTTTTGAAAAAGTTTATGGATTACTAGATATTTGGAAGAAAACAAATTTGGGCTATTTTCAAATTACTCCCTAATTTCATTATTATCTATTTTAGATAACAAGTTTTCAGATAAAAGTTGTAGATAATCACATCCTTAATGAAATTGTGTTCTCCATTTTTTTTTCTAAACCTGTCATTTTTGACATAACCGACTGCAATCTAACCTAACCTAACACAAACATATGTTTTTTAAAATGGAACACATAGTTGGCCATGACTTAATCTTTCAACCGCCATTTTTTAATCTTTCCAGCGGTATAAGCCGTAATATATTTTTTTCGAAAATTACTGAGTTATAGCCAATTCTTATCTAGTTTAAACAATTCCACTTAGTTAACCATGGAAACAAGTTCAATCGGCATTGCTCTCAGAGATACCAAACTGTCACATTCAAACAAAAATATGAATTTATCAAATGAAGAAAAGCGTGAGGGATTATTGGTTGAACTTTTCTTTAACCATACATTTTCGAGAATATGTTGGTCGGTGAACGTTACTTATGCTTTTCTGAGAACAGTTTTCAAGACATGTTTTCATTCACACAATCGGATGTGCATTTCAAGACAAACATTTAAATTTAGAGACTCGCGCATCAATAGAGTCGTTCCAAAATGACGCTCCTAACAACCAAACAACTAACCAAGTGTCCCAATTTAATTACTTGGGCGTGAACGTCTCTAGTAACAGAAATCAGTCAGACGAAGCAAGTGTCCAAGCAAACAAAGCGGCATGAATATCTGGCTACTTAAAACATATGGAGAAATAAAATTATGTCAAGAGAAAGTAAAGTTTGCATATACAAGACTTGTGTTAGACCAGTTCTTACCTATGCTATAAAGACTTCAGCCAGAACATCAGTAACAAAGACAATACTCAAAATAACAGAAATGAAAGTATTAAGAACAATACTTTAGGAGATGCGAAGAGAAGATCTAAGAGATGCGAAAACACGACATCAGAGAGGAACTGGAAGTACAAGACATAGTGGGGTGGGGAAAATCAAGAAGGCATATTGGGAAGACCATGTTGAAAGAATGGACCACGATAGGATAGCAAAATGGGGCAAACACAAATACCTAAAACACCCAGACCATCTGGCAGGCTATCCAAAAGATGGGACGAAAGTTGGGCATCCGATTCACAAGTGGCTTAAATAGTTGTTTTATACCGGGATAACCCTATTGAAAGAAAGAAGAAGATACAATTTTTCCAGAATGTATCAGTACCGACGCACGGCGAGGTGAACAGCGATGAGCACGGCGAGGTGAATTACTCCAATATGTGTCACCCTAAGAGATGTTCCCTAAATAGGTATCCTTCAAAAATAGCTAAAGAATTTTTTGGTAGGTGGAAAAAGCTGCGTCTGTTAACATATTATTGTTGGTACGTTATTATACATAAAACTAATACAAAATTACAACTCTAAAATCAAAGTATCAGCTCATAATGAATGTTTATTACAAATAGACTTACGCAAATAATATGCCAAAAAAGTCTTATGAAGTTGAATGGTCGTTGCACTAAACACATTACCAAAATTAATACTTAGTAAATATGAATTTGAACTGATTTTATCATAGAGATGCATTCTGATTCTTTCGCATAATAAAAATTCAAACATATTCTCATATCTTGTATCTTTTTTTCTGAAACGCTAAGGAAATTTAAAAAACGAATAAACCATATTGACGATCTGGGGACATATTGTTTGTATATATAAAACTGTCCATTAGTTTAATAATGTTAGAATAATGCAAATGTTATATTATTAACTTTATTTAAACAAATTAGTTATAAATTAAAACTTATAATTTAGTATCACAAAATAAATTTAGTTTTTTTCACTGCCGCTTTTATTGAATTGAATTCCTCTCATCGTATTTCGATTTCTCAGATCATTGTCATTTGATTCATTGGCAATGTTTAATAAGGACACAGATTTTGCAAAAAGACTCCTAGCTAAAGTTATTTTGTCCTTGTCTTCAGAATTGGAAGACGATGATTCAGATGGAACAGGCTTAGCTCGTTTCTTCTTAATAAAAATTTTGCAAGCAAATTTTGCTTCGCATTTAAGTGCTTCCATGAAAGAAATCTACAAAAAGAATAAATTAATATTTAAATTAGATAGTATTGCATTTCTTACGTGTTCTTCAACTGCTACTCGTCTAACTTCCCAAAAGAATTCAAAGATGGCAATAGTACAAGCAATTGCTATCCCAAGGCCTAAAACAATAAAAATACCTCCTACGTTTGATAAAGCCAATGAATCTGATTTTTCGTCGGAACTCTACAAACAATAAAAAGTTTAAATTTTAATTACACATAATTGATTTTTATTTTTAACTTCAATCTTTTATCGATATTTTGATCAAGTAAAGAACTTATTAGTCACTTTAAGGCTCTCTTCGATGTCATATGGGAAAGCGACTTTCATTATTGGCTATCGGAGGAAAATTTCCTGCAAAAATTATGGCAAACCGTCTGCACCCACATATAGAAAAAATTCTCCCAGAATCGCAAACGGGCTTTCGCACCAACCGCGGAACCGTTGTTTCCACGGGCTTCGTCTTAAGCTAAATATCAGTAAAACTAAAATTATCCAGAAAATCAGAACAATGCTCTAAAAATTGGAGAATAACTATTATAATATGTAGCGGAATTCAATTAACTCGGCAGTTTGATTTCGGAAAATGCCAATATCGATTCTGAAATTCGGCACAGAATTAGCAGCGCCTCAAGAGAATTCTGTAAATTAAAAGACAGGGTTTTCTACAATCATTACTCGAGTACAAAAAAGGAAACTTGCAGTGTACCGATCAATAATAATCTCTACCATGTTATATGGAAGCGAAACCTGGGTGCCATACCGCCGCGCCGCGTCGGCGCCGTCTCAACGCATTAAACAAGTTTTAACATAGCCACCTTAGACAACTGTTAAGAATCAAATGGTATCACTATGTCTCAAACGTATCGATACTTGAAAAATCTAGTTGCGAAAGCTCTGAAATCATAATTATTTAATCCCGCTTAATATGGGCTGGTCACGTATGCAGGATGCAAGAAAACCGCCTACCGAAATCTCTTCTTTAGGCTTGTAGACGGTAAGAGAAAACAGGGTGGACAACCCAAGAGATACAAGGATATTTTCCATAACAACTTAAAGAGGATAGCATATAGAATCAGTGGGAGGAATCAGCGCACAACAGAACGCAATAGGGAAGAATTATAAACTCAGTTAACAACGGCAACCAAAAGAGTAAAGATGTAACAAAATAATGAGATTTTTGAATGTTCGGAGTATGAAAAAGAGATAACATCACGTATCGGACTTTTCGGTCACAAAAAAGCTCATAAAAGGAAAAAAGCCTTGCGTAGCCATCTTCTGATGCGTGTCAAATACTCGTCAGCGGGTAATGGCAATGAATGAATACATTTTTATCTTACCCTATTGCAAGGTTCTCCTTCCCGTTCTCTTTTCCACCATTTTTCCTTCAGATCCATAAGCTTTCCGGTTTCCTGTAATTGTAAAATGGCTGAGTTAATAGAATGGCGGTAGTCTGCATCTAGAATTATAATCTTAAAATTGTAGAATTTACTCTATTTTTAAAATATACTTAATGGCATTCCAATACCATACGATTTGGAATCCAATAAATTTCCTATTCTTCTCAACTCACATCTGCGTTCCATTTCAAACTCTATTCCAGTAGACTCCATAAAAAAGGCGTAAAGAGCATTTTTCGTAGAAAGCACTCTTTCCACTCCGTTATCGTTATTTTTTTCGAAAACAGATTTGTCATGCTTTATTGTGTTCCACATTTTTTGATAGAGCGAATTATTAGAATTGGCAAAAAACGTTTCTGTGGAACCCTTTTCCAACATTCCTAGATTATGGTAAATAAAAAAATCATTCTTAAAACAGTTAAATTTAAATTTTATACCATATTTTATTTTTGATTGCGCAGCTAGTTCTTCGACACTGTCAACTGTTACATCGATTTTTCCCATTGTTAAGAAAGCTGCTAAGTTCGCAGTATATGAACTGGTAATTATCAAAGAAAAGAACCACCAGAACCCTGCAATTGTCCTGGTTGGTGTAGATCTGGAATGGATTAAAAATAAGAAAGGATTTATAACATGATCTTCTTTAAGGGCCGTTTAGACTCTCAGTTAATTTGCGCAACCTGGTTTGCACAAATCAAACTGCACCAATAAATCGTAAAGTCAACAAGTAACAAGAAATCGTTATAGTCCTGTCGATATATTAAATACCGCGGTTTTTTTTTGGGGCGCCTTATTTCTGACTGATATTTATTTTTTGCATAGTAATGATTCAATCAAGCATGGAAGTCACTTTTGAAATTTTGTTTGAAAATGCAGAATCTCCACAAATGAATATAAATTATTAGTAATTAAAGTGTAAATAGACAGTAAGTAAAACTAAAAAAAAAATATTAATTTATACAACAGGGCAATTCTAATTTAACCTTCAAGCGGGCGCGTCCAAAATTTTTTATAGCAATTTTACTAATTTCGTTAATACAAAATATCCATTGGACGTAGGGCGGTGGTATCATAAATTATAATTAATGGTACCACATATCCCTAAATAAGAATAATTATTCTTATTTAGGGATATTTGACACCCTGGGTTGTAATAGTTCCGTATACAGCGATTCTGGTTTAGTAGAAATTTTGTCGTAAATCTTGCAAATACATAAGTTGCGGTACTCCGTGCCGGCCACGCGGCCTGTTATGCAAGTGAAATAGTTATCATACTTTTTAATTATTTTTGTTTTATTTGGTGTAATTTTAAATTGTTAATTAATTATTTCGGTTACGTTTATAATAATCTGTTAAATATATGTTTATAACACACACATTTTGTAGTAACGACGGAAAGAGCCAGTATACAAACTCTTTCCAGAGATTTCCAAGTTTTCCTCGTTAAATATGCTCCAGCGGAAAATCTACCAATTAGAGACAACAAAAAGCAAGTTGATGCCTGCCATGTATGTGAAACCCATAAAACTACTAATTTTTGCAACTAAAGCAACAAATTTGTTCGCAAAAACTACAGTGATTGACTTGTTAATTATTGTATTACTGGTAGATATCTACTTATAGAAGAAGACCAAACATTTAGATGGTAGTAATAATGTAGTAAAATAAATAAACAAGTAATATGCTAATGAGCCACCCTCGTTCCATTTGAAAAAATTGAGATATGATTAAAAATACGATTTGGGCATCTTTTAACCGGCCAGGAAAATACACTAAAAACATTGAACAATCAAATCTATTTTTCCAAGGCTCCTTGATTGAAAATTAGTGTGTTTAACACAGCCATGGCACTCTGGATTGAAATTTAAAATAGAATTTGTTTTTGAGTGACTATGTCAAAAATTGACATATGATATGTCATTCGATTCAGAGTCTCATTTTCTGTCAAATAAAACGAGGGTGCCATTTAAAAATCGAAAGTTGTAGTCATTTCCGGTGAAACCGGAAGTGACCGAAAACAATTGAATACCTCAATCAATCCCAATTTATGTCATATACTAACTTACCAAATCTCGTTATTTTATCTGAAAGAATAAAAAAGTTATAGGGGTGAGCCACTTTTGAAACGCACCCGGTATAATTGTCAGGTGAGTTTTATAAGATAGTTTAATATTAGTGCACATTGGTTTGTGCAAACCAATTTGCGCAAATTAACTGAGAGTTTAAATGACTTTTTACTTTGGTAAAATGTCACATCCTTGTGTAGTAATAGACCCCAGAGTTAACCATAGAAAATTCTTAATTGTCCAAATATTTTCCAGTTCTCTCGATTCCTCATCCCATGGTTTTGGATTTTCCCATTCACGAGGAGCTAATCTAGAATTTACCTAAAGTATATCAATTCAAATATAGCATAAATATAATATTTACCTTGCTACAAAGAACATAGCTATTGATATTAAGAGATTTAACGTCCAAATATAAAACCACACCGTCCATGATATAGGTCTCATAAATGCATACATATTATCAACTTCTCCCGATGAACTTTCTTTATGTAATATACCTATACCTAAGGTCATAAATGGCATACTAAAGTCAATAACGGCTCGTCTTTGAGGTGTGATGGTAAAATCGCATATTCCTAAATCTGCTCTCTATGTTTAAGCGATAACTTACTAACTCACTTAACACTCTTAAGTTATACAAACTTACCCTTTCAATTAAGTCATTTACCAAGTTAACATAAGAATTATCTTCTGTAATGCGAAACTCAAAGGTGATATTAATTATTTTGGCAATTTCTGTTATCAAATCAACAGAGTATCCGTAGTATCTAGCATTTCCATAAGCATCAGGGTCGTCTCGCTTATACAGATAAGGCCTTCCTATTCTACAAAGAGTTTAATTAATTTCTATAAGTTTTAATCCATGATCTGTTGATGATTACCTTGATGTGACAATAAAATTGTAATTTTCCATCCTTCTTCGTAATTCGGCTTCTCGCTCCGTGGCATTTCTCGTTAAATGCATTTTTTCTGGATATTCTGAATCCCAAATGCCGATAGGTTTGTCAGGTTTATTAATTTCAATGACATCTAGAGTAAATTTTTCTCGTTTTCCATTTTTAAGTGATATTGGTCCAGTAAGTGTATCCATTAATTGAATCTAAAATATGACTGAATTGACATGTCTGAATTATGAAAAAATAAATTGGCTCTTAATTCTCGTATTAGGTACGCTGTAAGAGGTACAGCTCTCGTCTTCATTTCTAAAAGGCTTTTGGGAATGTAAAAGGGTACTTTGTCACACTCCTAGACTGATAATAGGTTGTAGTAGTTTAGGCTTTCGAGGCCATCGTTTGAAGAATTTTGGTTTTTCGGGTTATTAGGCCGTCGTCGGTTAGAATTGCTTAATAATAGGTTGTTGAAACGTGGTGGTAAGAAACCTATAGTCCCTGGTATACCGAGCACTGTAGAAGCAAGAAATAGCTTTCTACTCCAAAGGTGTGTGATGGCTAAACTCGGTGTCCCAGATAAAAGTGCCGATATTTTAAGGGGTGGTAAAAGAAACATACCTACTTTAAATATACTTTCTCTCTTTATTATTTTTAAAATAAACTGAAAATAACCGAGTTATTTAACTTTGAGAATTTAAAAAAATTATGGCAACATTTTGAGAACCGCCGGCAAATATCGCCAACGCCATCTCATCTCAGATAATTCGACGCCCTGTGTTGCCATGTTTCCGCATAGTCAAGAAAGTATATGCTTAAAAAAATGAGAAAATCAAACCACCTGAGGAGTTTAGCAGAGATTGCAGAGATGAATTACATTTTTAAGATGGTGTTATTATAACACAAAATAAATTAAGAGATAAAACTTACCAACAACATTAAAAAAATATATTTAATTACAGATCTAGTAATGGCAGTTTAATGACAGATTTAGTAATTAAAAGTTACAGAGACAGTTCTCTTTTTCGATACACCAGTTATCTGAATTACACTTCACTGTGCTGCTTTACTTGTATATGCTATTATAACTGCTAAAATATCAGTCCCAAAGTCTAACACATTATTTTGATATAGGTTTCATCATAATTTGAACCATTGATTTACAAAACATCTTGAAAAGCGCACACAACTTTGAATGCCTTTCTGAATAAATATATATTGAGTATTATTGCCTCTTATCGCCACTTTACGAACTACTTTTAATCTAAGAAAATACAATATGTTTCACTGAACAATTTTAAATACATATTTTGCTTTTTTGCTATATTTTTTTATGTATTTCCGATGTATTGCGATATATTCATTATTCAATGGCTACATCGAAAACAAAACCGTCCGCCCAGAGTTCCACTTACCATCTTGCCAACTAGTTTTTAAAAGGCGCAGCCGCTAGCTGTGGCGATCTTGCGTTATGCGACGATATTACTCGTAAACGACGTTGCCGTAGTTACAAGTTTTAAATTCAAGACATTCGAATTCGTAAAAATAAAACATAAACGCAATCAAATTCGTAAAAATAAAACATAAACACGAAAGGAAATAAACTAAACGGTTGTATCCAAAACAATCAAAACACGCTTGTCGAGACAGTTTGGTTTGGTTTGGTTTGGTTTGGTTTGGTTTGGCATAATTTTAGCATAATTGTTATTAGTATTATATTTTGCTCTGTAATCAATAGGTATCTAAAAATATTAGATTAATTTGAGTAAATATCAATCATAATTTGAATTAAAATTAGTGAATTTAGATAAAATATTAAAATTTACATTCCTAATTTTTTGTGTAGAAATTTAAAATTGCTGTAAATTTATAAATGCAGAAATATATAAAAAGGCAACACTGCAAGATACGGATACACCGTAGAGAAATCTCAGACCAATAGTTGAATAGTGGCACCAAAAAGTTTTTGAAAATTTCCCCGAAAATATCAAGAAAAATTTAAAGTTCTTAACAATTTTTCTTAGAAAAAACTCATAGACGTGTTTCTGGGGTTGAAATATACTACCAGTTAAAATTTCTGCACTTATTTCTTAGGCACCCTGTATATGTTAGTGTGTTAATATTTATTCTATGTATATTTAAAACACTTGATTTAGGCATAATTTTTCCTTTTGAAAATTTGGACCGCATCACTGCCGCTAAGCTTAAGCCATCTTATAAAAAATTAAATATTTTTTAGATATTTATATTACTTCAATCCTTTTATTAAAGAAGATAATAGGATTTTACTAAAATTCAATGTAAACAAATTATATACTAGATAGTCAAGACGATAGACCAAATAAATCAGAAAGATATAACATAACTATTGCTAATAAATGTATTACCTCTTGTATAGTTGGTATTAGTTCTATATCATCGGAATAAATACTAGGTGAGAGACAATATAAATATCTAGACGATATATCCACATCTTTTGTTTTTAGATGATTTACAGCTTCGGTAATAAGAGTCATTGCATCGTAGAGTAAAGCAGTTTCAACTGAGATTTTCGCAGGGTTCATATCAGCAAAGTCTTCTTCTATAATCCTTTGAAAATTTGGTTTCATAGGGTCGAAGAGCCTCACAGTAGTGATGTTCGCTAAAATATATAGTGACGAGTAATCTAGCGTGTGAGCATCCTAAAAAACAGAGCATATTTTCTAATATCGTAAAACACAATTATTGCGTTGTCATACCAATGATGTTAGGAATATGCTGGTAGAGAAATCAGAAAGTAGCTTTACTTCCTGTGCCTGCTGTAGTATATCGATTATTCGACTTCGTTTACAATCTATAATAATTCTATTGAACGGAGAGTTCCTAATTAACTTTAATATTGATCTAAAATATACAGCAGATATATCATAATATATATTAGAAATTACTCTATAGTTTATTCTAAATTATGTTCAAAATTATAATGAGTTAGGGATGTTTGTTTTTATAGCGCCGTTAATTTACTTTAAATTTCAAACTTAACAATTACCCGAGAGTTAAAATTTATTTCTGTCATTTTGAATATAATTCATAGAAAAAACTGACCAAGAAAAACAGCAAAGCCCATTTTCAAAAAGGACTATAAATCTAAAAAATCTCATATAATGCCGACTTTTTCACTCAATCTGTAAACCTATTATAGGACTTTTATACAATATGAAAAAAAAATGTTTGTAAACCAGTTCTTTCCTACTACAAATGACATCTTTTCTATAAGTATCGAACTAGTACCTATTATCCCAATTAGAGCTCAACTTTTGCATAAATATTTCGTTATTCATTTCCTCCTTATGAAATTTTTGTAACTTTAATACATCTTGAAGTCTTACAAGACCATCGTCATCTTCGTAGAGAACAGCTATTGAATGCCAGTCAAAACTTTCCACAATCTTGGCATAGCCCTACAAACCCCAGTTAAATTATAGTTAATAATAATAAATTCAGGAGTTTATTTAATTTTTGTCATACCTGAATTAACAAATCAGTGTCTGGATACAGATTAAATACATTGTCGAATGGAAGGTTAGTCTTCGGCATCCAACTTGTAATGAAATATGGAACACCCAAATAGGCACATGTGGATTCTAATGCTGTGGACAGGATGTGGCTTCTAGGTCCAAATACTGCAACTAATCGCTGATCGTTATTAATAAATTCACATAGTGCCACTGTGGCATCGAAAATCTCATTTTCAGATACTGATATTATTTCGGGAGCTTGAAACTCGATGTCTTCGTGCAGATTATCCTCTATAACTCCCCAGTTTAGAGGAGTTTTTTGTTGTTCTTCATCGAAAAAGGCACCTGTAGGAATTAGTTTATGTATGATTAGCTTTTATACATTTCAAGATCAGGGATTTTCTTTTGCGAGTTATTTTAGCATGAATATAGTGGACTCCCTTTAGCATGTTAGAAAATCTAAGCTATGCAGATGACATCTGTCTCCTTTCTCATAGTCATGCGGATATGGCAATAAAACTATTTAACTTGACAAATGAAGCTCTAATTGCAGGTCTTAAGATCAATATTAAAAAAAAATAAATCGATGAGAGTTTGTACCAACAATATCGCTCCCTTTATCATTGGAACAATACCTATATCAAATCAGTATTGCTGTATGGTGCAGAGAGCTGGAAATTACATCGCCATTAATTAACAAACTTCAAGTTTTCATAAACCGCTCTCTGCTGAAAATTGTAGGAATATTCTGGCCAAATTCTATCAGAAATGAGGACTTATGGAGCTTAACCAACCAGAGGCAGGTGTATAACGAGATCAGACTGAGAAAATGTAGGTTGATTGATCACACTTCACGATCACGAGTGTCAGTCCGCGCGCGACCGTTTGTGATACTCGTTTGTGATACTATTTTTACATCAATAATTTTATAGTGTCGAACAAGGTAAGTTATTTTACTGATTTGTTTTAATTGAAAATGAGCAAATTGTATTAAAAAAAGTGAATAATCGATTTCTTTTGTTAATTAAGTATTATTTTTTAGATGTACTCTGCAAGAAAGATTGCAACAGCTCATGCAAGACCGTTTGAACGAAGATGACGAATTTACTACTGAACATAACGATCGAGATGACGATGAAAAGGAAGAATGAGAAGTGGATATTATAGAAAGGCAAGAGCCCAAAATAAATTCTGATACTGAAAAATAAATTTCAGTTTCTAAAGCACTGAAAACGGTATTACCAGAGGATCGGCACTACAGAATTGTGATAGGCGGAAAAACAAACCAACTCGTTACCCTTTGTATGTCACGATCTCGTATGTTGACACAAATATTCTGTAATCACTGTTATACGGATTAATTTTTTCATTATTATTCATTACTTTTGTTTTTGAATAATAATTATTAATTTGTTTTTTTTGCGTGTTTTATGTTATATATTTTATGTTTATATTTGCTATTTGTATTGAAGCAAGTCAATAAATAATTGTTATTTTGATTATCATATTATTTTATGTCTTTACACCTCTAGGAACCCTTAAGACCTCTTGAATTTAGCATGCGGACTCAGGTTAAGTGTAGGGCTGTTGTTATTAAGTCAGAAACGAGAAGGACGTAAAAATTATATTGAAAGTCCAAAATTTAAATATGTCATATGTCAGTATATAAATAAAATTCTAATTATTTCGTAGTAAAATGTTCCGTTTATATCTAATTTAATAAATAATCAATATGTGTTTCAACGGCATTCGACAGTTGTGTTCTAAAAATGGGTTAATTACAGTATCGTTCCCTCCAATAGTAAGAAAAAACTGCCAACAACTAGTTTACTATACAAAACACGTCATTAACTTAGAACAAAACAGTTTTGTTTACGGTTAACAAACTAGTTACGAGCGACGTATCGATGCCCTATCTTCAAAACACTGTACTTACCTACGCATATGCTATCTTTAGCCTCGCCGAAATAGATCGTCGAGACAAAAAGCAAAAATAAAGAATATCCCAATAAAGGCGCCATAGTAAACACCGCACCGTATTAATTAGAACATGCTTCCGAACAGATTTTAATATAAAAATGCGTCTCGTTACGAAAATTTTCACGCTACGAAACTAGAACGTCTATCTTTATCGAGTTGCCTTTATCAAGCGTCGTCAAAATTGGAAAATTGCCAAAAAGAAACGAACATTCTCTGGCGGTTAAAAATACATAAATAGTGAAAAATGTGAATATATTCGAGCCAACGTTAATTGAATTTTGGGTGATGTTTACGCGGAAGTTAAAATAAAATAATTGAGAATACATTAGTATACAGGGTGAGTCAACGATGAGTGAGAGTAAAGTTCATTATCTCATCTGTTTCGAGGTTTACAAAAAAATGTTAAATACAGAAGTTATAGGGAAGGTTAAGAGAAAGAGAAAGAGAAAGAGAAAGAGAAAGAGAAAGAGAAAGAGAAAGAGAAAGAGAAAGAGAAAGAGAAAGAGAGCCTCCTTCGTATTGATGACTCGCTAACTCGATATTCTTACAGAGAACACGAGTTTTGGCAAAGCTGGTGATACGTACTTGCTTGCCTCTCTGTGTTGGAAAGCTTTCCATCCTGGCTTTTTTTCTCTCCTCCTGCCAGAGCAAAGGTGATAGGTTTTCGTTCTCTCTCTGTTGTCTTTTAGTGAAGATGCGCCATGCAGGTTCTTGGTTCTTTTACTCTCTTTTTTCGAGGACGACTTCTAAAAAGTCCCGCATGTAAGGGGTAAATAAAATGGGGTGGACCCTGGTGCACCAAGGTTGAGACCACAAAAGACTGGTCTTCTATATAGCCACACATCCCTTTGATCTGGCCCCGCCATCGAAGGATTTAGGTTTTTGGTAAGGTTGTTTCTTCTTGGTTCGGGCGGTTAAGCCAAAACCCTCACACCCTTTGTCCGTGAGATATGAACACAGACAGTAGGGGGTGCCTGGTATGACGGACAGGGTAGTCCCACCTAGCATCTTTATACGTTTTGATGCAATTCTCTAACAACGACACTATAGCCAGGGACAAGATAGTGAGATTAGGGAAAGAAGTCAGCCTGGTATTAGTGTGGACACCAACACCGGTAGTCAGATGGAAGCTTCTCTCGACCTTTTAAGCTTTATAATGAAAAATCTCACCCAAGTAGATGTACTTATGCAGAAACTCTTTTCTTTGTTTATCAATAGTTTTTGCTGAAAGCATTATCTATAGGTACGTAGATGACGCTTTCGAAAGAAAGATAGACGAAAGAAAAATAGGTATTATTACTGGATGTGCTGGAATAATTTCCTTTTTAAAAATACAATAGGTCTATATAAGGAGGATTTCTGAGTTCTCTCAGCTTCGATGTGAATTAAAACTGAAAATAAATCCCAAGAAAAAACAGTCTCTCTATTCTCCATTCCACACAAAACGCAACGGAAAACTTGACAAAGCTCGAGACAAACGACTTTCAAGATTGATGGTATCAGGCTGACGTACCAATTCTAAACTGAAAATAAATTAATAACCTTCTTTTCCTTATTTTCTTTAGTTTCGGTTGTTTTTTGTTCGGTGTTGATGCGTCAACAACGTCACGAAATTACTTAAATGTATTTTCTTCACGAATTCCAAAAGTGGAAAACCGGAAGCAGTCAAATGGGAAATAAGGGTCGGTGACAAAACAGATTTGGTTTTAGAATACTTAACTACATTTATCCAAACTACGACTCTAAGAGGCGCGACGGGCGTTTTGATTCTTTTGCTTGATCTCAGATAGTGAGATGCATTATCTATTAGATATATTAGTGTTAAGTTTTTGCTGGGTTCCGTGTAGATAACCAAAAGTATAATTCAACTAACGAAGTTTATTAACACAGAAAAAAACAACAATAAAAACTATTTAACTCAATTCACAACTTAAAACTTATGTTTATATGACAAATTTATGTCTAATTTATTTGAATTTCAAGACTTGGAGTAAATAATGTTCTAAAGTGAGTGATGCCAAAAAATTGGTTTATCATATATTATTTGTAAAATGTCCTAAGTTCCATAACCAACAATATATTAGAAAGCGCTGAGTACCACGGCTATTAAATTATTTTGAAAAAGATTTCTCAACACACAGACGCCGCCCTTGGCTTTATACGCTTGGTGCATTTCAGTTGATTTCAAAAAATTCCGACCGCAGCACTGTATACGGCAGAAATCAGAAATTTTCGCTACGTATTTTACGCCGTCCCGGTTACAGTTCATGTTGATCGCATTAAAATAATATTCAAATCATGGCTTTGTGATCATATTTAAGCATTTTAGTTTTTTGCTAGTGCAGTTAGTAGTAAAAAATAAGTGAAAAAGAATCCGAACTAAGCTTCGTGTTGTGTTGTGACAATTACAATTGTTAATAAAATTGTCGAAAAAATCGTAAAGAAGAGCGTTGTTGGGTGTAATAACTTTCAATAACTCAGCTTTCCCGGATATTCAACTCTGCCGAAACAACACAGTTTGTCACACCGATTTTATCAAAAGCAAATATGGATTCAAGCAGTTCGACGAAACAAATGAGTAAACAAGGTGCTCGTTACATGATCAACAAATTAAATAGACATATAGGTATTATGAGAGGATAAAATATAATTTGCAATATTAATGAGTATACTTTTCTAAATCAACTAGTGATTAAATGTTTTATGAATATTTTCTAAAATTATAATTATGCAAATCGTTATAGCCGAAATAGCTCCAGTTATGACCCCACTAGCAAAACCGGTGCGTAAAATTATGCTCGCTAGCGTAGTAGAACTCATCAAAAGTTTTTTTAGCTGGAATAATAAATTATAATACAAGTTAGCTCTTCTGAAGATATTAAAATATTTACTTTTTTATTTTTATTTTTACAATTTTCACAAATTATACTCGAAATAATTATCTTGGCACTTTACAACGTTATCTACTTCAGGTATGCCATTATTCTCCAATTTTTCTTTTGCTCTAGAACCGCTAAGTGGTTCGTTTCAATAGTCATATTAATTTCCCAATGCAGTATTATTAAATACATTATTCCATATATTCCTATATTAGTTTCATGTTAGTATATATCTAGCTAGTATCGTTGAATAATAAATAACTTTATTATTAAGTAAAATGAAATACAAAAGTTATTTATTTTCAGACTATCTTCTATATATGAATCTAGATCTTTTTTATTGTATGCTTCACAATATTTAATTTAAAGTAAGTGTGATGTGGTAAAATATTTTAGATATAGGCTATATTTATATTTACATGAGTATATTTTAGCCACAGAAACACTTTTATATTTTATGAGTTTAGGAATGTATAAAATATGCAAGCGATCTCGGTATTTTAAAGTGAAAATGCAGATTTGAAAATGCGGGATCCTTCAAAGCAAAGCACTTGCTTGGAGAGTCCACTTAGTCTGTGTTTGAGTTATAATACACAAAAGCACGGAATGGATAATGGATAGCGGGATGGATACGTAGCGTATAATTTAATTATCTTAATAATCGAAGGCTTGGCTACGATCTGTGATTTAAATATTTGCTGTATGGAATTTTAATAAATATATCTATTATTTTCTCTTCTGATTTTAATAGAAATATTTAACCATATTTTATACAAAATATTAAATCATGCAATCCCCTATAGAATATTAAAAATAATTATATTAAAAAGTTGTGCTTAATATTAAATATGATTAATAAAAACAACGTCAAACTACTATATTGTTCAGACCTTAAAAGTATAAATAATAAAAATAGTTATTTATGGTACTAGTGTGTTATATTACATATATGTCACGCTGGGAAATGTTTAGGCTACGTTGTCATAATAAATAGCACTGACATTAAGACGTCATTTGGATGAATCGCGATTTTTTAAAGACGAAATAGTGAATTATCAAGTCAAATTTTAAAGAAAAATGATTCAGGAAATCTACCGCAAGAAATGATTAACCAGACAGAGGCGGCCACAGCACAAATACTGTCAGAAAAGTCTATAAAATGGTGTGGCTTTGAAGTTATAACACACTAGTTTGTTATAACTTCAAACATGTAGAATGTTTAGGAGGGGAGTTAATCACCGCTACCTTACAGATCTATTGTGTACTCCGAGTTCTTCCGAGTAACGAGTTATAACTCATCATACAGTCTCAGGGCTTTTACAAAAGCCAGTATCTGAGACGGCTCTACAGAGGCCAGCTCTCCATCCTCGACATCAGCCGTACCAAAGTACATGGCACGAACGGTCGTCGTCTCTGCGCACTCAGTGACAAGGTATTCTGTGATGGCTTTTCCTAGTGAAACAGAATCTGCATTCGCCGTTGTTTCTCAGCTTCAGCTTACTGAGGTGTTCGTTGAGGATAACAGTGTCCTGTTAGAAACCCCGTGACAATCCGAAGATTGTTTTTACTTAAGTCAAGGAAAATCTTTGATTTTTCTCGGCCGTAAATTATGAGGAACTTTTTCGAATGTCTTCGACCATTGGAGGGCACCCATTCCAGGTTACGGATGGAGTCTTCCCGGTTCTTCAGTTCTGCTTTAAGTTGGTTTCCACTTGGGAAGCAGAACGTTTCTGGTCCAGTTAAGAAGTGTTCGCTCCCTTTCTAGCTAGATCATTTTCTTTTCATTGCCTTCTATCCCTTGGTAAGCAGGCAACCAGAGTAGGAGGACTTTATTTTCTTTGCCTAATTTGTTGAGTTTCTCTAAGCATTCTTTGGCCAACTTCGAATTGATGGTTACTGAGTTGATCGCGTTTAGTGCTGCTTGACGATCGGATAAGATTCCTATTCCTGTTTTCGATAGTTCCTATCTAAGGTAAATTGTACGCATCTTTCGATAGCGTAAATTTTTGCCTGAAGGATGCTGGGGTAGGTGCCTATTGATTCGGAGTATTTAATTTTCGACCAAAAAACTCCTATCCCTGTTCCTGCTTTGATTTTGGAAGCATCAGTATACCACGTCTTTTACATCCGGGTACCTGCTGTATATAGTTTTTTTTTATTATTTATACTTTTACGGCCCGATCAAGCCTAAATATCCGAAAATAGTCACTAATACAGAATTTAAAGTGGTTTGACATTGGTTATTATTAAACATACAAGATTTGTACAAAAAATACGAATGTGAGGAAACAAAATAATAAAAGGTACCTAAAC